CCGTGCGGGGCCCGGCCGGGAGCCCTGCGGACTGCCCGCTCTCCCGAGGCTCTCCTCGGCCCGCGCCCCGGCTGCAGCCGGCGAGTGAACATTGTGTGCAGGGGACCGGGTGATGCATTCCTCCTGGCTAATCTCTCTCTTCTCCCCCGCCCCTCCCCTCCTTTTCCCTTTTTCTTACTTACTTTTCACACCACTCTTTCTTGCCTTTCTCTGGAACAGCTGCCGGCTGTTTCCTGACACCTCGATCCTTACTGAAGGATCTTCCTGGCGGCAGTCCTGCTCTCCTTGTTCCCTGGGGGACGCTCCACACCAAACCCTAGCGCGACTAGTGAAAGAAGGACCCCAGCCCCCACTTCCTTTCCAAAGCATCCCAGAGACATCCTCAGGGGCTCCTCGAGTCACCTCTTCCATGTAACCCAAGATTCAGGCAGCCCGTTTCCTCCCTTCTCTTTCCCCTGAAGTAGCTAAAATTAATGTTATTTGCAGATTGAATGTTGCTACATTCCTCCGAGTGCCAGAATACAGCTCATAAAACACAATTTCACACAAAGATGAAGTCAATCAAGTGAAATAAGCCGGGATTTTTTTTCTCTGTTGGCACACTAGACCCTGGACAGCAGGGCTGCTATTTACTGTAAGTAATGTAATTAGCCCTTTTGGATGGAAATCAATGTGTTGTATGTGTGTGTGTGTGTGTGTTTTAATAAGAAAGTAATAGCTATAAAACCGACGAGACTCAAAGGGGTAAGGGAATCTCCCTTAAAATGGGTAGATGCCTCCACAAGTCGTAGTCTCCTGCAGAACACTCCCGATCTAAAAAGGAAAAAAAGAAAAATCTATGATGTGTGGGGAAGGAGGAGGGAGATAGACTTTCCTTGGAGCAAACAAGTCAATTAGCACAACAAGCCATCAGGAAAAAATAAACAAGGTGATTCAATCCGGGATACGGGCGCTATTTGCTTGGGCTCTCCGCGATGCCCCAGCTATTCCAGGAGATGCACGAAGTTTCTTCTCTCTTAGTCCCCAAAATTACTGCTGGGGGAGAGAGAGCACAGCCAAACCGAAGCTGCACAGCCCGTGCGAGGAGGCGAGACTTCACTCCAGCCGCAGCCGCTTTGTTGAGCAATGCAGGCTCTCGCGGGGATGGAAGGAGGGAGCGCGGAAGGCTCAGGGAAGGGAGCAATCCGCGCCCCGGCGCAGGGAGGTTTAACCCCCTCGCAGGGGCGTGTTTGCGTACAAGCCGCTGGCCGATGTGTGTCTTGCTCGGCGTGGGGGATTGCGACGGTGATTTTAGGAAGATTAAAATCTCATCTAAACAGGAGTTTATTTTTAAAAGTTGCAATAAAATCTTTCCACTGTAGTGGCACTTTCAGTTTTTTTTTCTCCTTTGAACGAAATGTTCCTTTATTCCCGTCCAGATATTTTATGGGGGTAACCGACCCTTCCTTAAAGAAAAGGATAGTTCTGGTTTGCGTCCGCACTCTTCGTTTGCATTTCGCATTGGGTCCTTGTGGCAAAAGGCATCTTGGCGCGCGTCGGGCATAGACACCCGCCCAAAGTCCGCCTCATCCTCAGCGCTGCGAAGCCCCGACCCGTTTCTCTCGATCCTCCGCTCAGAAGCCCCGCCGCGGCCCTCCTACCGTGACCGTTTCCCTGCGCGGCTGATGGCGGCTGAGAACGGACAAAC